GAACTCGGAGGTGTCGTGCGTTCGGTACTTGACCGGTCGGATCGTGAAGACGTGCGACTACATCAACCGTGTTGTGCTAACGCTTCAGCTTTCGGTCTACAAAGGTACGTGGACACACTCTCCCCTCTCGTTGCTATGCATCACCATGATCTTGTGTGTGCGTAGGAATTTTTTTGAAATTACTACGTTCCCCAACAGTGGCATCCGAGCCAGGTTTTATGCGTAGATGTTATATGCACGAGTAGAACACAAGTGAGTTGTGGGTGATACAAGTCATACTGCTTACTAGCATGTCACACTTTGGTTCGGCGGTATTGTTGGATGAAGCGGCCCGGACCGACATTACGCGTACGCTTACGCGAGACTGGTTCTACCGACGTGCTTTGCACACAGGTGGCTGGCGGGTGTCAGTTTCTCCAACTTTAGTTGAACCGAGTGTGGCTACGCCCGGTCCTTGAGAAGGTTAAAACAACACTAACTTGACGAACTATCGTTGTTGTTTTGATGCGTAGGTAAGAACGGTTCTTGCTCAGCCCGTAGCAGCCACGTAAAACTTGCAACAACAAAGTAGAGGACGTCTAACTTGTTTTTGCAGGGCATGTTGTGATGTGATATGGTCAAGGCATGATGCTATATTTTATTGTATGATATGATCATTTTTTGTAACCGAGTTATCGGCAACTGGCAGGAGCCATATGGTTGTCGCTTTATTGTATGCAATGCAATCGCCATGTAATTGCTTTACTTTATCACTAAGCGGTAGCGATAGTCGTAGAAGCAATAGTTGGCGAGACGACAACGATGCTACAATGGACATCAAGGTGTCGTGCCGGTGATGATGGTGATCATGACGATGCTTCGGAGATGGAGATCACAAGCACAAGATGATGATGGCCATGTCATATCACTTATATTGATTGCATGTGATGTTTATCCTTTATACATCTTATCTTGCTTTGATTGACGGTAGCATTATAAGATGATCTCTCACTAAATTTCAAGATAAAAGTGTTCTCCCTGAGTATGCACCATTGCCAAAGTTCGTCATGCCCAGACACCACGTGATGATCGGGTGTGATAAGCTCTACGTCCATCTACAACGGGTGCAAGCCAGTTTTGCACACACAGAATACACAGGTTAAACTTGACGAGCCTAGCATATGTAGATATGGCCTCGGAACACTGAGACCGAAAGGTCGAGCGTGAATCATATAGTAGATATGATCAACATAGTGATGTTCACCATTGAAAACTACCCCATTTCACGTGATGATCGGTTATGGTTTAGTTGATTTGGATCACGTAATCACTTAGATGATTAGAGGGATGTCTATCTAAGTGGGAGTTCTTAAGTAATATGATTAATTGAACTTAAATTTATCATGAACTTAGTACTTGATAGTATTTTGCTTGTCTATGTTTGTTGTAGATAGATGGCCCGTGTTGTTGTTCCGTTAAATTTTAATGCGTTCCTTGAGAAAGCAAAGTTGAAAGATGATGGTAGCAATTACACAGACTGGGTATGTAACTTGAGGATTATCCTCATTGCTACACAGAAGAGTTACGTCCTGGAAGCACCGCTAGGTGTACCACCTGCGCCAGCTATTGCAGACATTGTGAATGACTGGCAGTCGCGTGTTGATGACTACTCTATAGTTCAGTGTGCCATGCTTTACAGCTTAGAACCGGGACTTTGACGACGTTTTGAACGTCATGGAGCATATGAGATGTTCCAGGAGTTGAGTTAATATTTCAAGCAAATGCCCGGATTGAGAGATATGAAGTCTCCAATAAGTTCTACAGCTGCAAGATGGAGGAGAATAGTTCTGTCAGTGAACATATACTCAAAATTTCTGGGTATTGCAATCATTTGATTCAACTGGGAGTTAATCTTCCTAATGACAGTGTCATTGACAGAATTCTTCAATCACTGCCACCAAGCTACAAGAGCTTTGTGATGAACTAAAATATGCAAGGGATGAACAAGACAATTCCCGAGCTCTTCGCAATGCTAAAGGCTGCGGAGGTAGAAATCAAGAAGGAGCATCAAGTGTTGATGGTCAATAAGACCACCAGATTCAAGAAAAGGGGCAAAGGGAAGAAGAAGGGGAACTTCAAAAAGAACAGCAAACAAGTTGCTGCCCAAGAGAAGAAACCCAAGTCTGGACCTAAGCCTGAGACTGAGTGCTTCTACTGCAAGCAGAGTGGTCACTGGAAGCGGAACTGCCCCAAGTATTTGGCGGATAAGAAGGATGGCAAGGTGAACAAAGGTATATGTAATATACATGTTATTGGTGTGTACCTTACCAGAGCTCGCAGTAGCACCTGGGTATTTGATACTGGTTCTGTTGCTAATATTTGCAACTCAAAACAGGGACTACGGATTAAGCGAACACTGGCTAAGAACGAGGTGACGATGTGTGTGGGAAATGGTTCCAAAGTCGATGTGATCGCCGTCGGCATGCTACCTCTACATCTACCTTCGGGATCAGTTTTAGACCTGAATAATTGTTAATTGGTGCCAGCGTTGAGCATGAACATTATATCTGGATCTTGTTTGATGCGAGACGGTTATTCATTTAAATCTGAGAATAATGGTTGTTCTATTTATATGAGTAATATATTTTATGGTCATGCACCCTTGAAGAGTGGTCTATTTTTTATGAATCTTGATAGTAGTGATACACATGTTCATAATGTTGAAGCCAAAAGATGCAGAGTTGATAATGATAGTGCAACTTATTTGTGGCACTACCGTTTGGGTCATATTGGTGTAAAGCGCATGAAGAAACTCCAGACTAATGGACTTTTGGAATCACTTGATTATGAGTCACTTGGTACTTGCAAACCATGCCTCATGGGCAAGATGACTAAAACGCCGTTCTCCGGAACTATGGAGCGAGCAACTGATTGTTGGAGATCATACATACTGATGTGTGTGGTCCAATGAATGTTGAGGCTCGCAGCGGGTATCGTTATTGTCTCACCTTCATAGATGATTTAAGCAGATATGGGTATATCTACTTAATGAAACATAAGTCTGAAACATTTGAAAAGTTCAAAGAATTTCAGAGTGAAGTTGAAAATCATCGTAACAAGAAAATAAAATTTCTACGATCTGATCTTGGAGGAGAATATTTGGGTTACGAGTTTGATCTACATTTGAAACAATGCGGAATAGTTTCACAACTCATGCCACCTGGAACACCACAACGTAATGGTGTGTCTGAACATCGTAATCGTACTTTACTAGATATGGTGTGATCTATGATGTCTCTTACTGATTTACCGCTATCATTTTGGGGTTATGCTTTAGAGACGGTTGCATTCACGTTAAATAGGGCACCATCAAAATCCGTTGAGACGACGCCTTATGAACTGTGGTTTGGCAAGAAACAAAAGTTGTCGTTTCTTAAAGTTTGGGGTTGCGATGCTTATGTGAAAAAGTTTCAACCTGATAAGCTCGAACCCAAATCAGCGAAATGAGCCATCGACGTGATCGATGAGGTGGTACTCGCGGAAGATGAGGGAGAAGTAGGTTTTCCAGGCATAATAGGTGGAGGTGGCATAGTCGAGCACGACGGGGACGTGGGCAAAGATGTCCAGATCGCGGACGACCTCTACGGGAGGAGGGGCCGGGTCCTCGAAGGGGTTGGAGGGGAGGGAGGCGGCGGAGTGAGGAGAGGCCGTGGGCGCAGGGGCGACCGAGGGAAGGGGTGGCAGCACGGGTGGTGGTGAGGGCGATCGGGAGGGAGGCGGCTTGGGAGGGAGGCGGCTCAGGAGGGAGGGAAAGAGGGATCGGGGTGGGGAGGCGCGCGCGGCGGCGGGTGAGGGTGCGGCGGCGGTGCGGGTGGATGGTGGCGGCGGCGGCGAGGAGCTGCGACGGCGGTGGCTAGGAGCTGCGACGGCGGCGGCTAGGAGCGGAAGATATGGTTGGATAAAAAAAACGATACCATGTTGAAGGCAATGCAACTCTCGATATATTGATCGGGTGCATGGTGCATGTATATAAGGGTACAAGGGCAGCCCTCAGCCTCATCTATACAAGGAAACTAGAGGCGGGGCCGGTAGGAGATTATCCTAACAGATACATGCACATATATGTTTCTCTACTCCTAATGGAGCAGTTGGTGAATAGTCTTCACGATTTATTTTTACTGGTTTATTTTCGTCTCTCCTCCCACCACCCCCTCCCATCCTGGTTCATCGATTTATTTTTCTCTCCACTCTTTGTTACAACCAGGACTTTCCTAACGTATAACAAATCACGGATCTAAATTCCTTAAATTATGCATATCAATCGATTCCTTTTATTGGTTCAATTTGTCTTAGGAAACAAATAACAAATTTTTAAGGAACAAATAATAGATTTGAATCTAACTTTCCCAACTTATCTAAATCAATCGATTTCTCTCATTAGTGAAATTTGTTTTAGGAAACAAATAACAGACACATCACAAACTTTCCTCCCAATAAATAGTTTCTTAACATTTGCAAACTTTCCTAATCAGACACGTCACAAATGGTCAGGTATTGATATCATGTTACCAAACAATAAAAACCCATTTGCATAGAAATCAGTTCAAAATCCTAACTTTCCTAAATTTTTACCTTTCCTTGATAACATCCAATATTTCCTATGTGATATTAGCATTTTTTTTGGAATGAGATCTCCGGGTTATGATTTTTTTGCGATTATTTCCAATTGTGACATCTCCTTCCGCTCTGGCTCCTTCTCGCATAATCACCACCACCACAGCCAGCTGACGCCACCCTAGACCTCTTGCCTCTCCACACCTTCTCTGCCACCTCCTCCTTGTACTCCATCGACAATACCTCCTCCATGTTTGTCCACGGCGGTGTCGAGGGCATGGGACAACAGCGTACCAGTGGTAGAGCAGCGCATAGCAGCAGGAAGAAGCATGCAGCGGGCGAGGCGAGCGGCCGACAATGGAGGGCAGAGATGCGGCCGGCGTGGCTGAGGGGGCGGCCGGCAAAAGATGGCCGCGACAAGAGGCGGCGCGAGGCAGGGGCGCGACAGCGGGAGGGTGACGCGCAGCCAGGGTATGCGTCGTGCGGGGCACAGTGGTGCGGTGGCTGTGGTGAGCGTGATGGCAACGACGGGCGCGACGGACGCGGTGTGGCACGTGCGTGGGCATGGAGAGCCAGAGAGGGAGTGGCCCCGCGGGCACAGAAGAAAAGCTGAAGGCTCGGGCATGGGCACGCATAGGAGCGGGCATGTGCCACGGGGTCAATCCGAGGAGCTCAATGGCTACCCCTGCAATGGCCATGGTGGACGGCGGTTCTCGGCCATGGCGAAATACCTAACGAGAGCAAACGAGAGGGGAAATTGGGGAAAGGCAAGAGGAGATCACAGCGGTGTCAATGGCACCGTAGGGGAAGACAGGGGAGCTCAGGGCGGCGCGGATCGAACGACAATGTCGCGGTGGCCGAAGGTTGAGAAAGACGGAAACAACGTCGATCTGGGGGTGCTGGACTTGATCTCATTGGCGCAGACGAAGTAGCGGAGGCATTCGGAGCTCCTTGACAAGCTCCTAGCCAGCAGGGAGGGCAGTGGTCGTGTGGACGGGGTCGGTCATGGTGGCCATGGCATCTGACTTCGTCCAGATCACCGGGATCAAGAGAGCGAGGAGGAGAAGTGGATCTGGGAGGGGGCGTCGAGGAGGAGTGAGGCCATGGGGCAGGGGGGCAGGGCGTCACCCTTATCCATTCCCCTTCGATGCCGGCGAGGTGGTCGGGCGGGAGCCCGGCTCTGTAGCGACGGGCTCGGGGAACAGGAGAAGACGACCGTGCGGAGACTGGACCACTGGGCCAGTTCGGTGGCAAGGCCTCGGGGTAGGGGGAATCCCCTTTTTCATCGTCCTTTTGGTTTTAATGTATTCTAATCTATTTCTCCTTTTTAACACTGTTTTATATTTATTCTTATATCAATTAAATGGATTCTGTTAATTGTGAAACTATGCACACAATTCGAGCACAATATTTTTAGGTGGCACAAAAAATTTAGGGCGAAAAAGAAATATATAAAATTAGGTTTATATTTAATTGGTTATTTTAACTACTGTTGGACCTCTTATTAATTTGACAAGATTTAATTAGTAGAATATGGTGAACATTTTAGTTTTACAGTTTGACGAAATAATTTCTTTGACTTTATTTTAAATTTAAATTGGGCTTTGGTTTTTATCAAGTGGCAGTTTGACTTAGCAAGCCTGATGACATGGCATCATTAGGGGGAGGTCACTATAGCTAACGACTTGAGGTGTTACATAATCTTTCCATTTCTAAAATTTCATTGTTAAATGATTGGAGAATATATCAGACTATCCATTAGTTCAGTCAAGCTCACCACAAATCCACACATTATTGTCAATTGAGTAAGTCTTATTGACGGGGAGTATATGCTATGTGTGTGTGTTAGAGAGAGAGGGAGAGAGAGTGAGGAAGAGAGAGGGGGGAGAGTGTGTGTGAGGATTCGATGGTAAAAAAGATCACCAATGTCGTAATATTAAACTCTTAAAACTAATGTGGCTCCGTTGCAATGCATAGACGTTCTTCTAGTAACATGATGGATGAGGCCGGGCTCCTGGGTGTAAGCCACCCCCGATACAAACGGAAACAGCTGTATTTACTCCCGTAGATACAAGAGGGAGCGCACGAATCGGAAACCGCATCCGTCTTGGAGCCTACTAGACTAGGAGGCCGCTTTTATATATATATGCCTATACCTATTGATCTGTTCTGACCTACCAATGAGACGAATCTCACCTCTTCCTTCAGATTAAAAAGAAGAACTGCGAGTATTCCCTTCGGTCCTTTTTACTTTGTATATTAGGTTTGTCTGAAGTCAATCTCATCCAACTTTGATCAAGTTTATATAAAAAATTATAGACATTCACATAACAACATCAATATCATTAGATTCATCTTGGAATATATTTTCATATTATATTTATTAAATATTATAGATGCTAATAATTTTTAATATAAATTTGGTCAAACTTAGCAAAGTTTGACTTTCGACAAAACCAATGTGCAGAGTAAAAAGTACCGGAGGGAGTACATACACAATCGGGGAATCAGTCGACCATGGCGGATCAGCCGCGAGATTCGTCGTAAGTTCCTTTTTGCTCCTCCAACCGCAATGCAGTTTCCTTTTTCTTTCTACTCCCTCCGTCCGTCCGTCCGTCCGTCCCATAATGTAAGACATTTTTTTTAAGGACGGAGGAAATATAATATATACCAACTCTTTTTGCCCACTCTTATAACCCATCAGCTGGGTGAGTAGGCAGTTTTTATGTTTGTGGATTGCGAGATGTTCGGGATACAAGTGCGCACGGTTTCTCTTTCTACCGACCCGCACCGCACCCCACATTTTCAAAAACACAAAATTTATGTTTAGTCCTGTTCTAACATGATTCGATATTGTGTTCCTAAAATTCACAGAAACAAGTCAAAATTTATCGGTCTGTAAAGGAAAACAAATAAAGCAGATCCATTTTCACCCACACATTCGTCTTTTTTTCTGTAGCCCACGGATCGAGATAGAATTTATATCCCCTCCGTCTGAAAACAAGCGACGTGGTTTTAATTCAAATTCAAGTAACATGGTGAATTACTTATTTCTGGACGGAGGGAGTAGGAATTTATACATACATCGTCCACATCAGCATGTACAAGTTCTGGAACTGGCTTCTTAAAGGTGCCATTCAAGAAAATAAACACATTGCTCGTTGTAGTCCTGGATCCAAATTCACTTTTTGCGCCGGTAAGTCTAGTCTAGATACTGAAATGGCGTCACGAACTATACAACTATATAACTTATTAAGGCCGCAATTGGTGTCTCTAACCATCCACCACTTTCTAAACCCACCTCTGAATTTTTTTTTTGAGAAAACTGGGGACGATCCTCCGCCTTTACATCAAATGTTACATATGACCATATATATATTATTGACCAGACAAAACCTAACACCACTACCGAACGGAGCGGTTTACAGATAATAAATAAAACAAGAGACCATCTAAACGGATCAACCTCGCGGTAGGATCTTCATGAACATACCACAAACCATGTATAACAAGAGACCAAATGAAACAAAAACTATGCCAACATGCATGAACCTTTTTTCGTAAATCAGCGGAATCTTTTCCCCAAAAACTAAGTATTTGCCTCATCTAAAATGTAAATATTCCCTACCGCTTCTCCACATATGTCCATTTACTCCGTGATGAACTCCTTCTTTCTTTCTTTCTCCTCCCAACCACCATTTATTTATTGTAGCCTTTTCCCCCCTTCCTATCTTATCCCTCATCGTTCTCCTCAACTTGCGCCTTTTTCCTTGGTTTCCTTCCACCAGAAAACCTATTGTTGATGGTGCGCCTAGTTAGGGCATCGCCGCACACCAAACAAGCTCCTTTTGAAGCCTAAAGCAACAAGCTCCTCTTGTGAAGCCAACCGAGAAAAGTGAAATATTCCCGGGTGAGCACTACATTATACTTTATGTTTCAATGTTTCAAACCTTGTATGAAAATTTTTCCAAACAGTAAGGGTGTCCATACTTGCGGGTTATTATATTTCAAAAATGTAAGGTCTATTAGTACTACTGAATACAGAAAACAACTTGTCATTACATCTGATTCCGATATCTTCCTTATCAACTGGTTTTCAGTAGACTTAGTAATCACAAGGGCTCTTAAATAATAAATTTGTAGAAAAAAAATAGCACTCCCTCCGTTTCTAAATCCTATACTTCCTCTCTGTCCCAAAATAAGTGTCTCGAGCTTAGTATAATACTGGGACTGGGAGTATTTACGAAATAGTACCTGAGAAGACTTGTAATCGGACTTTGTGGTGAAAATAAAAGGTGTCTCTCGGCTCCCCATCGTTCCCCCAAATTCTCTTCTTCTTAATGAAAAGGCAAAGCTCCTGCCGGTTGCTCGAAAAAAAAAAATCGTTCCCCCAAATTCTCTTCTTCTTAATGAAAAGGCAGAGCTCCTGCCGGTTGCTCGAAAAAAAAAATCGTTCCCCCAAATTCCCCAATTAAACCAACCCTCGTTCGTCCGTCCGTCCGCCGTCTCCGTCTCCGTCTCCGGCGGCGCCACCCCGCCATGTCGGTGGACGACTGCTTCGTCCCGTTCCACTCTCCTCTCCGGGAGCCGACCGCCTACGACCGCTGGGGGAAGGGCCCGCAACCCTGCTGGTCGCAGCTCGATCTGGACAAGTGCGCAGCGGGAGGCTCGCAAGGGCAAGGCGGCGCCGACAGGCGCATCCTGCAGTTTCTGAACCGCCCCCTCGCCGTCCCCCCAAGGCGCCTGCCGCCGCCCCTTGGCCCGCTGCCCAAGCTCTCGGAGCCGCCCTCCCAGACCCAGTACGTCTCGTCCTCCTGTCTGCTTCGATTCGATTCGATTCGTTTCGAATTCCACTAACACGTGTCCGAGTCAAATTTTGCGAGAGTAGAATTAATCATTGGGCTCATAGATTGTGCGGACGTCTCTGCTTCCGTTGTTCACTCTAGTAATTCTGAATTATTTGCATGTTGTGGTTCAGGCACAAGGAGAATTTGCCAGAGGAGCCAAAGCAGCGCCACCCTGCTCAACCTGCAGTCTCATCCGCTGCTTCCAGGGGGAGGTACGCAAGGTAAAAGAAAAAGAAAGACTCTCTCTCTCTCTCTCTCTCTCTCTCTCTCTCTGTGTGTGTGTGTGTGTGTGTTATCATTTTGGGTATGTTGAAATGTGATTGCGGCCTTGCGGCTTCGCTAACTTAAATCCCCTCAGGTTGCCAGTATCAAGCCATTCCATTCCATTGCAAACTAGTACTTTTTTCATGGTTACTTGTATTTTTCTTCTTCGCTGCTAGCTGCATGGATCACGGGCTAAGAATTGTACTGAACCTATTCGTTCCGGAAAATAATAATAATAATATAACAGCCGCTCGCAAGCTCTGGTTGACAGTAGCAGCTGTCATCCACGCCTGGCACCTGTTTAATTCACAATGTCAAATCCGAATTTGAGATTGACTATTCAAGTTTTTGATCTCCTGTAACCGGTTTCTAACAAACTCTGCACGCATCTCTCAGAGAGACACACCACACTTCATAACAACAACAACAACAAAGCCTTTAGTCCCAAGCAAGTTGGGGTAGGCTAGAGGTGAAACCCATAAGATCTCGCAACCAACTCATGGCTCTGGCACATGGATAGCAAGCTTCCATGCACCCCTGTCCATAGCTAGCTCTTCGGTGATACCCCAATCCTTCAGGTCTCTCTTAACTGACTCCTCCCATGTCAAATTCGGTCTACCCCGCCCTCTCTTGACATTCTCCGCACGCTTTAGCCATCCGCTATGCACTGGAGCTTCTGGAGGCCTGCGCTGGATATGCCCAAACCATCTCAGACGATGTTGGACAAGCTTCTCTTCAATTGGTGCTACCCCAACTCTATCTCGTATATCATCATTCCGGACTCGATCCTTCCTCGTGTGGCCACACATCCATCTCAACATACGCATCTCCGCCACACCTAACTGTTGAACATGTCGCCTTTTAGTCGGCCAACACTCAGCGCCATACAACATTGCGGGTCGAACCGCCGTCCTGTAGAACTTGCCTTTTAGCTTTTGTGGCACTCTCTTGTCACAGAGAATGCCAGAAGCTTGGCGCCACTTCATCCATCCGGCTTTGATCCGATGGTTCACATCTTCATCAATACCCCCATCCTCCTGCAGCATTGACCCCAAATACCGAAAGGTGTCCTTCCGAGGTACCACCTGACCATCAAGGCTAACCTCTTCCTCCTCACACCTAGTAGTACTGAAACCGCACATCATGTACTCGGTTTTAGTCCTACTAAGCCTAAACCCTTTCGATTCCAAGGTTTGTCTCCATAACTCTAACTTCCTATTTACCCCCGCCCGACTATCGTCAACTAGCACCACATCATCCGCAAAGAGCATACACCATGGGATATCTCCTTGTATATCCCTTGTGACCTCATCCATCACCAATGCAAAAAGATAAGGGCTCAAAGCTGACCCCTGATGCAGTCCTATCTTAATCGGGAAGTCATCAGTGTCGACATCACTTGTTCGAACACTTGTCACAACATTATCGTACATGTCCTTGATGAGGGTAATGTACTTTGCTGGGACTTTGTGTTTCTCCAAGGCCCACCACATGACATTCCGCGGTATCTTATCATAGGCCTTCTCCAAGTCAATGAACACCATATGCAAGTCCTTCTTTTGCTCCATATATCTCTCCATAAGCTGTCGTACCAAGAAAATGGCTTCCATGGTCGACCTCCCAGGCATGAAACCAAACTGGTTTTTGGTCACGCTTGTCATTCTTCTTAAGCGGTGCTCAATGACTCTCTCCCATAGCTTCATTGTATGGCTCATCAGCTTAATTCCACGATAATTAGTACAACTCTGAACATCCCCCTTGTTCTTGAAGATTGGTACTAATATACTCCGTCTCCATTCTTCTGGCATCTTGTTTGCCCGAAAAATGAGATTGAAAAGCCTGGTTAGCCATACTATCGCTATGTCCTCGAGACCTTTCCACACCTCAATGGGGATACAATCCGGGCCCATCGCCTTGCCTCCCTTCATCCTTTTTAAAGCCTCCTTGACCTCAGACTCCTGGATTCGACGCACAAAACGCATGCTGGTCTCATCAAAAGAGTCGTCCAGTTCAATGGTAGAGCTTTCATTCTCCCCATTGAACAGCTTGTCGAAGTACTCCCGCCATCTATGCTTAATCTCCTCGTCCTTCACCAAGAGTTGGCCTGCTCCGTCCTTGATGCATTTGACTTGGCCAATATCCCTCGTCTTCCTCTCTCGGATCTTGGCCATCTTATAGATGTCCCTTTCGCCTTCCTTCGTGCCTAACCGTTGGTAGAGGTCCTCATACGCCCGACCCCTTGCTTCACCAACAGCTCGCTTTGCGGCCTTCTTCGCCATCTTGTACTTCTCTATGTTGTGTGCACTCCTATCCAGGTATAGGCGTCTAAAGCAATCTTTCTTCTCTTTAATCGCCTTCTGGACATCATCATTCCACCACCAGGTATCCTTATCTTCGCTTCTCCTTCCCCTGGACACTCCAAACTCCTTTGAGGCCACCTTACGAATGCAAGTCGCCATCTTCATCCACACATTGTCCGCATCCCCTCCTTCCTCCCAAGGGCCCTCCTTAATGACCCTCTCCTTGAACGCCTGAGCTACCTCCCCCTTGAGCTTCCACCACTTCGTTCTAGCGACTTTAGCCCGCTTATCCCGCTGGACACGAATCCGAAAGCGGAAGTCAGCAACCACCAGCTTATGCTGGGGTACAACACTCTCTCCAGGTATCACCTTACAGTCTAGGCACGCACGCCTATGTTCCCTTCTCGAGAGGATGAAATCAATCTGGCTAGAGTGTTGGCCACTACTAAAAGTCACCAGATGTGATTCTCTCTTTCTAAAGAGGGTGTTGGCTACAATCATGTTGTAGGCTAGAGCAAAGCTTAAGACATCGTCTCCTTCTTGATTCCTGATGCCATACCCAAAGCCCCCATGCGCCCCTTCAAAACCTGTGTTAGATGTACCCACGTGGCCATTGAGGTCTCCTCCTATGAAGAGCTTCTCACCAATCGGTACACTCCTAACCATGTCTTCCAGGCCTTCCCAGAACTCCCTCTTGGTGTTCTCATTGTGGCCTACTTGCGGGGCATACGCGCTGATAACATTGAGAACCAAGTCCTCAACTACCAGCTTGACCAGGATAATCCGATCCCCACGTCTCTTGACGTCTACCACTCCATACTTGAGGCTCTTGTTGATCAAGATGCCTACGCCATTTCTGTTTGCAGCCGTCCCCGTGTACCATAGCTTGAAGCCGGTATCCTCCACCTCCTTCGCCTTCTGTCCTCTCCATTTGGTTTCTTGGACGCAAAGGATATCAACACCTCTCCTCACCGCTGCATCAACTAGCTCCCGAAGCTTCCCTGTCAGAGACCCTACGTTCCAGCTACCTAAGCGAATCCTCCTAGGCTCGGCTAGCTTCCTTACCCTTCGCACTCGTCGAGTCAAATGCGAAGACCCTTGCTCATTTTCCACTACATCCGGGCGCCGATGTAGCGCGCCACTAAGGATGCGACGACCCGATCCTCGCTCACTTGCCACCGTATCCGGATCAAGATACGGCGCGCCACCTGGGGGGTGACGGCCCGGCCCTTGCCCATTTTCCACCACACCCGGGTTCCGATGTGGCGCGTCGCTGAGAGGGTTACGCCCCAACGAAAATCTTTTGGGACACACCACACTTCATAAAAGTAAAAATGGAAAACCGATACTGGTAACTTTATTTTTGAGTGGTAGAGCGTGCTATATTGTCTTTGCTCATTTCTATGACATGATCATAATTTGTCGATGCATTAGGAGTCGGGCTGGGTGGGCTTCCAAGGACAGGAGTACCCCATGCATCAGGAGCCGAGCTGCCTGTGCTTCCAAGGAGAGGAGCGCTCCTGAAGGTATCAACATGGAGGAACATGGATTTAGGTTTCAGTTCACTTTCCCTGAACCCGATTATGGGGAGTACGGCTCTGATTTCGGTGAGGAAGAGGAGTGTTTACCGAGGCAGAGGAAACCTCCCGAAGTAAGGAATGCACTCCGTGAGAAGAGAGTCGCGTTTAGGCAAAAGACTGGGCGGCACCATGCAAAGGTAGCCCTGCGTAAGTACAACAGAGCAAACAACACCAAGGTCTCCCCTCTCTCCCTCTCTCGTAAGAGTGTGTGTGTGTGTGTGTGCGTGTGCGTATTGTGTGTTAACCCAGTGCTCTATTGTAACTGTACTTTTCCATCTTGTTATTTCAGTTTGAGCTGGTGGAGGTGCCAGTGATCCGTGAGTTTTGGGAGTTTGGAGGGGGCTGCATCCATTACAACTTCACGGCTAAGCAAGCAGAGGATCATCGTCATTCTGCTGATGCAGACAACACCAAGCTCTTCTTCTCTGAGGTCAACTCTGCTTTCCATGGCGACAAGGATGTGGTCCTGTGCTGTATCGTTGGAGAACATGACAATGGTACGTACTTGCCAGAGAGATTGTTGCATGCCCTTCCTGCTACATACTCCCTCCGTTCCTAAATATTTGTCTTTCTAGAGATTTCAACAAGTGACTACATACGGAAAAAAATGAATGAATCTACACTCTAAAATATGTCTATATACATCCGTATGTGGTAGTCCATTTGAAATCATAAAAAGACAAATATTTAGGAACGGAGGGAGTAGTTGGTGTCACCTTTCGCAGTTGAACAATCCTGCAAATAATATGAACATTTGTTGAAACTGTCAGTTATTCCTCTAGATCATATGCCATGCTGCTTAATGGATGTAAATATACATGAAGAAGCAACTAAGCAAAAGTGGCATTTTTTAGATGCTGAAACCTGCTTTGAGGCTTCCAGTTAGTTATATGCATGCTATCTATATCTTCAGATCTAGTAGCATGTAATAATCGTAAGGTTTGCGTTAGCTGCAATCTATTTTGTTTATTCGTGTTATAATATTTGTCTGACTCTTTTTTTTTGTGTGTGTGTGTGTGTGTCTGTTTTCTAGGGCATTGCTATGGCTGTGAAGGCTTCAAGCCAACCGTTGTTCACCCTAGCAGCCAAGCGTATGGCGGTGGCAGTAGTACTTGCATTGATTTTGCTGGTTCAGATGGAAGCTCGGAGAGTGATTAAAACGCAAAAACTTCCGGTGGTTGAGCTCGGTGGTTGGATTTGGCTTGCATGCATGGCTAATCTTCCAGGGTGTCTTGTCTCTTAGTTCTTAATAATGCCAAGATAAATGTACTTTTGGTGGTTAATGCCCTTCTTAAATACTCCGATTACAAAATGGCGAACATCTTGCAATTTTGAACATTTTTTGAACTCGTCAACATTTAATATTTTTTGAAATCGCGAACATATTTTGAAATTGTGAACATTTTAATCTATAGGAACATTTTATGAAATCATTAACATTTTTTGAAATTGTGAACATTTTAATCTAGGAACATTTTCTGAAATCATGAACTTTTTTCGAAATTGTGAACATTTGCTTTTGACATCCTGAACATTTTTTCAAATATGTGAACTTTTTAACAAATCCGTGAACATTTTTTTTGGAATTTTGAGCATTTTTTGGTAACGTGTGAATAGTTTTTGAATCGGAAACAATTTTTAAAAAAATTTGGAGCAATTTTTTAAATTTACGCACATTTTCTGAAATGCATGAACATTTTTTAATCTGCAAAAAATTGAACTGGTGAAATTTTGGTGATTTTTGGAAGAATTAATTCGCAACCATTTTTTTAATGTTTTGAACATTTTTTTACTTCATGCGCGACTTTTTGAAATTCATGAATATTTTTTTAATACGCAAACAATTTTTCAAAATCATGATTGTTTTTTGTTTTTCTGAATATTTTGCAAAATCATGATCATTTCTTGAATCCGTGAATATTTGATGATTTCTCAAGCATTTATTAATTCATGAACATTTTATGGTTTCTCAAATAATCTTTGTAAATCACATTTGTTGAAAAAAATTGTATCATTTTTTGAAAATTCCTGATTTATTCTAAAGAAGAAAAAACGAAACCAAAAAAAAAAGAAATAGGAAAAAACAAAAAATAGGGGTTGTCCCGCTCTGCGCATGGGCTGGCCCAAAAGGCTGTGCGCGGGAGGGGGGGGGGTGCATGGCGGTAGGCATTTGGAAGATACTCGGGGCGATATATGAGCTCCCGACGTAGGTGTAGGTGAAGCGGCTCATGCCGGCGGGGAGCTTGTGCAGGCAATGCGCCGCAATGTCCTAGAAGTTGCCCGTGTATGTTGTGTGCTCCGCCACCACCATCGTCCCCCGCGCCACCATCGCGTCATAGATCATCGCCAACCTCCCCGTGCTGCACCATCCATGGATCAACGGGCCACGACGGCCACCAACACCACCAGAAGGAGAAAAAGATTGCCAAAAAAAAAAGGAGAAGAAGAAAAGGTGGAGCTCGCCAAAACAAAGGGAGGAAACAAGGCAGGCAGACGGGGTTTGGTGATCTATACTATGTCGCCGTTTTGGAAACCGTAACGGCAAGTATCACATGATGACGACATCCTGGCCGTCCATTTGACCATGATTTCGGCGTTGATTACTAGCTGCTTCCTTCCTTGGACGACCATCCTACATACTCCCTCCGTTCACTTTTACAAATCCAATAACTCCCGAGCGTTCGGGGTTTGAGCAGTTCGTCCCGAACGTTTTGACATGGCAAATTTAGTTGATAGGGGATGGCAACTTTAGCCTTTTTCGTTTTTTCATCAGAACATTGTCATGTTTTCCTAATCTCACGCAAGCTAAAGTTACCATCTAAAAGCGTTTGGGTTGCCATGCTTAACTCCCGAACGTTCGGGAGTTATCATTACCGCATTTTTATAAGTCATTTCAGACAATTGAAATTGAGTTGCTTTGCACGTTGTCTGAAATGTCTTCAACGACTTACAAAAGTGAACAAAGGGAGTAGCTTGTCCAGCACTAGCTAGCTGTAAAGAAAAAGGAGCAGACTGGTAACACAAAGACATGTTCATTTCTTGTCAAATTGTTTCCAAGAAACATCCACGTCTTGAAAAATCAAAGCCAGCAGCCAGCAAGTAGAACACAGCAGTATGATATGTTTGCAAGCACATGGCACATGGTCTGAGGAGAACAATAACAGGAATTGCTACTGGTAGAACACAATCATCAGCCTTTTCTGTCTCAAATGGAAATATTTATTTGGCTACAAGCATGTTTCTCCAACAGAAAAATACATTTCTGCATGCTCCACATGACCCATTCTCCTAGTAACAGAAATGGGTCCTTCAGGATGGCTCTTGCTCAGGCAGCAACAAGTAACCCTTTCTCTGTTTTCCACCAACAGGCAACAGAGATGCCCAAACTTCAGAAACATCAGAAGCCTTTACAAGATGCTTTCAACGTGCCGTCTTCAGGTTCATACCGTCGAGTCGATGATACATCATCTTGTGGTCTTTACTGGTCTTACAAGTGGGTGATACAACAACAAGCTCTACTGACGCTACGTGGTCTAATCGTACAACATCATCATACATGGCATGGTCTGCTGCCTAGCCGACAAAATGGCGAGCCGCGGGCGGTCACATCAACCGTGCGGACATCGCCGGCAGGAGAACCATGCATCATAACACCGCAAGCAGCTCTGGCATCAGAAGAAGCATGTCATCACTTGCACTGCCGCGGGTGGAACTTCTCCTCCGACAGGAGCGACGTGACGAGCCGCTGGAGCCGCACGGCCCCGCGGCCAGGCTGAAGGAAGCTGGTGTTCCCGACGACCGAGCAGGGGTCGCTCCCGTTGTCCCCTGTCCCCGCGCACCAGCCTCCGGGGGTGGGCGCGTCCGGGCCGGCGCGGCGGGACAGGAGCTCCGCGTCGATCCGGTCCAGCACGGGCTCGTCCGCGTGGAACTTGCGGGCGAAGGGCGCGTCGCTGGCGATCATCCGGTCCAGGTCGTCCATCGTGAGGTAGTGCGGGTGCTGCTTCGGGGGGTTGTCCCACGAGATGTAGTGCAGGTCGTGGTTCACCGTCGTGTTCTTGAACTCCTCCGCGTTGCAGACCACGGTGTGGAAGTAGCCCTCCGGGGAGGAGATGAAGTTGGAGTAGTACATGAGGACGGTGCGGGGCAGGTTGTCCCAGCCCCATATGCTGTACTCGACCAGCGACCTGGACAGCGCCATCCACGCTGAACCTGCAAACATCTCAGATTTAAGAGCAAGATTAGTTCCTCAAAAAGGCCCAAAGTAAGAAACTTGGTCACTCCATAAAAGCTCTTGAAACACAAGATTTCTTTGCTAGTTGGCCAAATCATGCTAATGTTTTGCTTGCGAGTTAGGAATCTTATGCCTTGACCTTCACTGGAAAGTGGAAAGGCGGGCTCTGAATCTTACAGCTACCTATCTAGTTCAGATATTAAAACATGGAGGGTGCATATCAGGCCAGAGAACTACTACTTGAGAAACTTCGACCAGCTGATCTTGGTGTAGACTCTAGAAAGAGGCAGAAAGATGAAATTTCTGGGGCTGGTAATAAGAGCATTTATAACAGGTGAAGTTTACTAGCACAAAAAAGTAACTGAAACTGAAACTGAAAATAAAGGTTACATTCAATAGGATTGGAATTATTGTCATACAGGAAAGGCAAATCTGAACACAGGGAGTTTCCTCATTTATGCTATGTTAGTTTTCAGCAAAAGAACGAAAACCGGCAATTAAGCTAGAAAAGCATCACATTTATTACGCAGGGTTCTGCATGACATCTTAGGAACACTTTGAAGATCTTATTATGGTAACAAATCAATTTCAGTTGGTGGTCTGGTCTCCACAACTTGCATGATCAAACACACATCAATCAGCATATATCAGTTTTAAACCCTGAACACTCAGATTCACTAATAATAAACTCTTCTAGTACAGCAAATTCCTTTAATTGGTAGAGAAATTCCTTCCATTGGCAAAACAAGAATTTGCAGGAGCCTAGTATGCACAGTGAACAATCAAATGCATGGAAAATCCTAGTATACAGCATTTCTATGCTGGAGCTAGTATATGTAAATAATTGGGTTACCAACCAAGAACAGTCCAATGGATCAACAACTCGAAGCAATATAATGTATTAGTAATTACCAGTGAATAGCTTGAAGGCTGTTGGCACGCTCCGGCGCTGTGGTATCCAGAACACGTCCGCCTTCTTCTTCATGTAGAGCCCCGGGTCGATGATGACCGGCTTCGCCCTCTGAAACCTGCACGCATACAGATTCACAAACCAACAAGAAGCGCATTAATTTCACTATCCAGCCACGGTGTGCAAGCAATCCGGGTAGCTCTAAGGAAGGGAGACACCTACTCCTTCCATCCGATGTTGCTGGTGTGGTCGATGAAGTTGAGATCACGCGGCAGCTTGGAGAAGACATGGATCAGATCTGCAGCAAGCAAGCTCACAAGGTCAAATGGTGCGCTATGGCACTGTGACGGACGGATCGGGAGCGGTGGAGCGGGCCTTTACCGTCCTGCGTGACGAGCGGGTAGTCGGAGGCGGAGAGGTTGATGAACCAGTCCCAGTCGGACCCGCCGGCGCCGGAGTGGCCCCAGAGGAGGGCCGCGGCGGCGTGCAGGGTGCTGGCGACCATGGTGGGCCCGCGGTAGGTGACGAGGTTGGCCCGCTCGACGACGCGGACGTTGCCGGCGGCGGCTATGACGGGGTGCGCCGCGAGGCCGGCGGCGAGGCCCCGGCGGTCGGACTCGGGCGCCTCGGCATCTAGGTGCAGCACGTAGAGGTGCCTGGGGTGGTAGAGCGCGAGGAGGACGCGGCGGAGCGCGGCGGCGTCCCTGGCGGATCCGGAGATGACGTAGGCGATGCGGGGGAGGGATCCGGCGGCGCGGGAGGCCGGCGGGGTTGGGGCGAGCTTGTGCTCCACGAAGAGCGCCGGGGAGGGCGAGGAGGAGGGGAAGAAGGGGAGCGGGACGGTGGTGAGGAGGACGAGGAGGAAGAGCGACAGCGCGGAGCCGACGGCCAGAGGGAGCAGCCACCGGCGGTCCACGGCAGCGGCGTGGACGACGATGGGCTTCATCGGCGGCGGCGGGAGGGGGCAGCCGCAGTGCCGGCTTTGGCAGGGGGAAAAAGGCCGGATTTTTTGGCCGG